AAGCACATAAGGTAATCTTATATATATGAATAACAATTTATATCAGCCACTAAAACAAATATCAACGTCAAACAAGTAGGAAAAGAGACTTACGTTACTTCTTCCCACTTTGCCTTTTCACTAAATTCTCCCTTCTCCCACCACAAGTTTCGATAAAAGAAACAATCTGACATTCGTTCTGGAACCGCATCACTACTCCTAAGAGTATCTCCGAAAGATTAGCGAAAAAATAAGGAGTAATGGTTGCACATATTTACTTACACAGAACTTGTCCTTGTTCTTATTGAGCTAATACTGCTAAAAGCTGGCATTTGATGAACCGGTATATAACGACATTTTGTTGTTTATGGAAAGATTGTTTTTGATAACGGAAAAGATTTAAAAAGAAGATAAGCCACTTTACTGATTAAATTTGCGTTAGTGTTCAGACCCGGATTGATATTGGGTAAACCGGATCCACCCATTAGTAAAATCCTAATCCGGATCAACATTTATTAAAGTATTTTCTATCCGGTTTGTAAATCGGGACCAATCCGGTTCAACCGTTACACTAACGGTTATTTAACGGGTAGATAACGGATGAAAATAATGGATATTAAGTAACGAATAAAACGGGTATTGATATATTTTTCAAAAAAAAAATTTTCTTTATTGAAATTCAAACATTAAGACCCACTGATAGACCACCAAAATACCAAACAATTAATCAGTAGGATGAATTGAATTAAAATTGGATGCATTCCTCTTCAAAAACATAAGCTTTTTGAATAACTTCGGTCTTATTCTTGTTCTTTTATTAGTTAATAAATTCCCAGCATCGGAAAAGAGACGTTCACTAGCAGTTGAGGTTGCCGAAACTGCTAGATATTTTCGAGCAAGACCACTCAGAATAGGAAAACTTTCTTTTTTTTCATTCCACCACGCGAGAGGATCTAACCTTAATGAAATTTCTGGTAGCTGAAGATATTCTTCAACTTCATCAACAACAACTACATTAGATTGGGAGAGTCGTGCCATTAGAGTTTTCCTTTTCGTTGAAGATTTCGATTGAGATGTTGACTGAGTTGATGAATTAGTTGTGCTGGTATGATAATTTTCCTTTTCTTTCTCAAATAATTCTTGCAGATGATTTTTAGTATCGATTTGTTGAGCCTCCGGAGCAAAACTAAGTTTTTAAATCTAGGATCAAGTAGAGAAGGAATTAAGCATTCATTAGTAAGGGTTGGATAATATTTCTTTATATTTTTATATAATCGTAATTTGACTTCATCTAGCAAACCAAAAGTATTAATTGGTTTGTTTATTTTACTACTAGCTGTAGAATCTTGTCCTTCCTCCACATCATTAATTTCAAATGCATCATCTTCTTCGTCAGATTCTTGATCATATGATGATTCAGTTGTTAATGTTTTAATGATTTCCATTAACATCGGCGTACGCATACAATTCGTCACATATTTGCTTCCACCCAAGTCTTCTGTTGCATCAGCAAATGTAGATAACACTTCTGTTAGATCAGTAATAAGATCCCATTCATTATCGGCAATCATGATCTGTTTTAATCGTTGCGCGTTCTTTTTTGAATCTACATCTGTATTGCATGATAGAATATTTAACAAAAGTATTATCCATTCCTTTAAATACAGCAAACGGACCCAAGCAAGGTAGCTAGAGTTCCAACGTGTGGACACATCGTTAATTAACTGGAGATATTTTGCATTCTATATTGTTAAATAAATTCAGTATTTATGTTTTAAGTGAAAAATAAAAATTTAAAATTATGTATTTACAATTGTTTCTTTTTCAATTTCATCTAAATTTTCACCATTTTTTAAATCCGGATATTTTTTTTGAACTTCCTCTAAACGTTCAGATTGTTTCGGACGCATAAAAAATTCGATTAGTCATTTTACTCGTACTATTAATATTTTAACTGGTAATAAAGCTTTTCCGATTATAAGTTGGAGAGTATGCACGCTGCATCCCTGCCATCTAACATTATTCATATTAGTGATCACCTTTTTCATATTCGCGACGTTATCCGTCGTGATCGTAAAAACTTTATTACGCAAATTCCATTCTTCAATGTTTCTTCCAGACTTTCTGTGATGTTTTGAGCGGTATGGGGGTATCTAACGTAATTTACTGTTAAAGTAACTTCGTTAATATTAAAATTTGTGTCAATGTAAGAACAAGTTACGCCGATGTATCCTTGTCCGTTACGTGCTGTCCACATATCAGTAGTTATCGATACACTATTCGCATCCATCCTAATCTTTTCGATTAATGCTGGTAATATAAATTTATAAGCCTTATGAATAACTTTCTTAATTCCTTTTTCGTCCGGAATTACAAATGCTGGATCCAACTCATTAATCAATCGGCGGAATGAAGGACTTTGAACTACGTATAATGGTTGTAGATCTTCAATGATCCAATCGGTTAAGAATTGACGTAGTTCACGTTGACGGCTTTCTTTATGTTTGTGAGTTTGAATAATGAAAGGAAGAGTCTTTTGATTCTATAAAACATAATAATAATAAAATGATAGGTCCGGTTCATTTCAATGACAGTCATTTCGCCGATAAATCATTTCACCGACAAATTTTGGCTAAAATTATGCATAATGTTAGCCAAACTGTCAGTGAAACGTACTTATCAGTGAAATGATTGCCGGTGAAATGAATGCGTCCCTAAAATGATAATTATATATTTTTTTAATTTAAATGTTTTACAAAAGGATAAAGAAAAAAATTAATAAAAATACATACATTATCTTTTCTACCTTCTTTTGTCATTTCGTATTCACTCAATAAATGATTTATAGCATTCCCAGTTGATCCATTATTGATATAAATAGTTCCACACTTATTTCCATTAGCATCGATAACTTTACATCTTTTAAGCGGCTCCCCTTTATCACCCGTTTGTTCTTTAATATCTACTTCCTCAAAATAATCCTATGTCTAACTTCTTTTTTTTCTATTGCTTTTTGCTTTCGTTGCTGGGCGTTGTGGCTAATCTTGTTCTAATATTCGTATATCACTCATTATTCGCGTAATATAAAACAAAATGATAGATGTTAGAAAGACAAAGAAACTTACAGTCTCGCGTAATGTAAAACGCGAGTGTAGATGCTAGATAAAAGATGATATTACACTGCAGATTATCATGTGAACACGTGATTCCCTTTATCAGGTTTAACTGGTTGAACCTAATTGACTAAAATTGATATTCAGATGACAATCTGTTTTTCAAATTTCGAACCAGATATCCTATAATAACGGATATCCGTTATGAATCCGGATTAACAGTTTACGGGTCTGAACACTAATTTGCGTCACACATTTATCTAATTCTAATACTGCGCCCTCACGTGATAACTTCTCTGCTGTGTGACGTATTACACAAAATACCAGGCGCATGTAAAAAATGCATCGATTATCATTAATAGCTATCTGCGCAAAGGTGAGTTTATTGTATTTGATTTAGATAAAGCTGAGGATGATCCTCTTGCAATTCGGCTAATGTTTGATACACCGTTGAATCTGCAGAAGGAGATAGGGGTGAGGTAAAAGCGCAATGCAAAAAATGCCTTTGCTAATTCATAATTTCGCTGAACTCAGGTCAGGAAAAAATCACGTGCGCTTGAAGATTCTTCACACCAATCACTACCAAGAAAAATTTTTTATTAATACATGCGAAAAATAGATTCTTTCTTGTAGTAATACATTTCTTTATTAATAATGCGTTATAAATAATACATAGGCTAATCGGAATTTTTGTGCTAATAATACATAAAAAATACATGGCATTTCTCTACGCTTGTTCTAATGCCTGCATTAGTAAGCTTCTATTCACAATCATAACATTCCTCAAGATTAATAATAAACGAATGAAGGATTTCACACGTGATATGTTACTTGGTGATAGCGGAACTTCTGCATGATCTAGGTGGAAGTATCGAGAAATACCAGCCAGATCTTTCACAAGAACATTAAGATACATTGTTGTATCCGCAACCTGGATTCCCACGACTCCAAATTGATTACCAATTGGCCTACATAATGCACTGATATAGCTTGCCCTATCCAATGTTTCCCTCTATAACTTAACATTGTCATCTGTTTTTTTTGAATTACTACATATGATGCATGATGATTCTGTATACAATAGCTCAATAATTTTCCATCCTGTTTCAATAATCCCATAATGCCAGGTTTCTTTCCCATCTGCTCTCCAATTATTCCTAGATTCCTCTAAGCTTTACTTGCTATACTTGGACGTTCCGCAGTGTTTAAACAGATAATACCATTCAGAAGGTCACTCAAACTTGCTTGAAGTAAAGGAATTATAATGTCTGCAACGTATGTCCCTTCACTCTGCTTACTGCAGGATGTATTAGTCATAAATGAAGAATTATTTCATATTTCACCACTTATAAAAGAAAGCATATAATATAAGTAATGCTATTCCATAAAAATTTTCAGACTAAGATAGTTAAGTAACTTACATTGTGCCTAGAATACATTCCGTTATTTTTACTAGATTAGTCTCATTTTCTTTCCATTATTTATCATGAAGGATATTTCTCATAAACCTTAAAACATTCATATTATTGAAATATTCTACAAATTTAACACACTTAGCCACAACTAAATTGGGGAGAATACATTTCATGTTTTCTTGTGATTCTATGAAGATATTTTTTTGCCTATGTCCCAAGTTTTTCACAATTTCTGAATTATTACTTAAAACCATGCTTGCTTCTGGATCTTACCATATAAGGTCTGAAGGGTCAATACTTGCTAACTTTGTTTAAGTAAATCATAAAGATTTATATCTGCTTCTGATGTAGGATGCTAAGCATATAATTTGTTGGTTCTAAATGCAAAAAAAAAAACAGTATAGTAGTAATTATCTTAAGTTAATATTTTAATAAGATAAGATTTCATTCTATTTCTTCCCAGCTGTGATCTGAAGTAAATTCTCTATCCATATTCAATACCTTTAACGCTTTTAAACCTTTAACACTAATATATCCACTTTTCATCTATAGTAGATGCAATAAAAGTACCGATACATTAGTTCCATTCCAAATTTATGAATTATAATACAATCGTTACACATGTGTATTTTCAGATATATTTAAGATAACATTGTTTTGGCTGGATAGTTACGCACAGTAAGAGAGGAGCAGAAACTTTCAACATCTGAAGATATTGATCTTTTGGGCCAGCACTTCCCGACCTTTAGCTATGACATACCAAAACTAAAGCCCACATCTACTATAGCGTTATCATTAAAATTAGAAATAGTTGATAAATCCTTATTTATGCACTAACTTGTGTAAAATTTCTAATACCTTTGGTATCCTAACAATAGAAGCACTCTAAGGTATTTTCGTAGGGAATGTCATAATGTATATAATCTTTGCAAGTAACGTATTATTTTTACGTAAATATCTCTCTCCAACTCTAACCCCACAAATTGCCAAACTTGAAAAATCAATATCGGCATTAAATAATGAAATACAAAAAATAAAAGGAGAGGCAGAATGAGACTGCATATCACAAGGTAAGAAATATTCTGCACTTTCTAGTTATCTTTGCATATATCCTCAAAAGTAAATAGGTACTAACTTTTTTATTATTTATCATTTAGGTTCATCGTGATTCTCTTCTAGTAATATATCTACCAGCCAATATTCAGAATATCCCAATAAAGTCCAAACTTTATGAGTAGAATTTATAGCCTTATTTAATCAAAGAAGAAGAAGGAAGGGGCATTCTCACATACAATTATACAATGTAGTTTTTCAAGAAATACATTTAAGCTCTGCAACTTTGGCAAGTTTCTATCACCGTCAAAAAACACTGAGGACTACTTCCTTGGATAAATAGAAATATGGTTTAATAGAGAAGGAAGGGGGATTCTAGTAGTAATAGTAGCAGTAATGATGATAATAGTAGTTAGTAATAGGAAAAAAATAGTATAGAAATTTACAATGGCAATGTAAACTTTGTTAGAAGTTCAGAATACAAGCGATATATATGTAAAATAGCAGGCAAACCATATCCATGTGAATCACTAAAAATAACTATTATAAAACCAGATATCTTACTATTGAGAAAAAGCTTAATAGTATAGATTTCTTAAATTCAAAAAATAATTGTGAGTATGTCTGAGCTATAGATTCTTTATCAAAATAGTATATTATTATAATAATATAATAAATTGATCCTTTCTTTTTTTGTATAGATCGCCTACTGAATGTATCACCTGTGAAGAAGAAATAAAACACATGATTTTGATCAGGCGTTTCAGCTAAAAATTACCAAGAAAAGTCACAATAGATTTTTTTTTAAGAAAAAGAGAAAGTTCATTCAATGAAGCAATCATGGGGATTCTTGATTCATAAATACCGTAATTATAGTTTAGAAAATTTCTATGCAACAGTTATTTAGTGAGTTTACAAGAATTATAAGAAGAGACCTGAATCTTTGACGAAACAAGTTTGAGAGGTAGTGAGAAATGATGATACTCCTGACAGGTGGAAATATTTAGATAATATTTCTTGTAATAAGGCTTATTATTATATTAATGGAAAATTAATGAAATATAATGGAAAAGTTAATCAATTCTTTTACAATGTGATCATACCATTTATATGACTAGAATTTGGGCGAAAGAGAAAAAATATCAATTATTATACCAATTAGGTTGGGTGTTCTTTGATCGTGCTAGAAAAACATTACAACAAAAAGGTTATATACCAAATTGGTATACTATGATAAAATAGGCATAGAATCCCGAATATTATCTTGATACTAAAAAAAGTTCAGTTAGTACACTAGTAGTCAAAATGGAAATACTTGCGCAACTCAATTTGCATATTAATATCCTTCCTAACAGTAATTGGTGGTATAGAGATAAAGCATCTCAAACGCACCCTCAAGAAATGTTTCTCAATACCATATCTAGTATTATTGTCCAAAGCATAGCAGAAGACAACCTATTACTAGCCAATTTACATGCAATGTGGTTCTGTTCTGCATATACCGATATCTAATTATATTTTGTATTACTATTGTCACATGTGCACGTGTGATTAATTTAATTTATTTTCATTTTAGATTATCTCGCATCACATGATTTAAGGTCAATAAAAATTTAATACAAAAAAGCATTTATAAACACGTGGTTTTTACTTATAAGTCTAGTTAACTGAAATAATCCCGAATTATCAAAATTATGCTTTAAACGTACAATGGTTACCGTTCCCTAGTTTTATAAATATAGCAGAAGAAAACCATCTATAGATTTTTTAAAATACGATCAAAGTAATACATAAATAAAAAATAGTTCTATATAGAGAAATGTAATGCATTCTATGATGTAATAGTTATACACTGCTAATCATATGAGTGAATGCAACTATCTGCTTATGTGACAAAATAATTTCACACCTCTTCCCAAAAAATATTTCAAATTTTTTTCTTTTGTAATGTTTTAGAAAATAGTATATTATTTGCTTCAGAGAGACGGGTTATTTCTAGTATATGAGGTCTATCTATTCTGATTGAAATACATTATACAGTCGACCCTCTCTACAATTACACCCTTCGGGATCGCCTTATGGTGTGATTGTATAGAGATGTGCTTATATGTAATTATGTAATTTCAAAAATTAAAATTAAAATTACCGGTATTTATTTTATTACATTTATTACATCTATAGTTTATCATTTTAAATTAGATTTTTAACACTTCGGCTGGATCCAAAGTGGTAAATTTTGTTTCTTTTCTTCTTTGCTTCATTCTCCTTTCGCTTGGTTATTAATTAACCAATTTCTTTTTTTTTTTAGATCTTTGGGCTCTTCAGCTGGATGCAAGGTGGTAAGTTTCATTTATTTCTTTTCGTTCTTTCTTCTTTCGCTTGGCTATTAATTAACCAATTTCTTTTTTTTTGATTTTTGCAGTAAGTTTACCATTAAGTTCAGTATTGATTCTGCCGAATCTCACATTAACTTCTTCATTAAGAGTCTTATTAAGTTTATTCGAGCTCTACAGTGAGAGAAGCCTTAATTTCAGATACACGTGAGGCAATTTTATTGGCGATTTTAGTATCATATGCAGAAAGTTCATTGGTCATTTCAATGAAGGTCTTTTTAATTTTTGAAGTAGTACTTCCATCATGTGCAGGAAGATTATTGGAGAATTAGTTTCTGATGACATAAATCAAGAAAAATATGCTAAGAATTAAAAGTGTGAAATCTTCAAAAATAGGTCACAAGGTGCTGTTTTGTAAGATGAATGCAGACATAATTTCAGAGCGAAGTAGGAAATTTGTTTAGATATATTTAGATCACAGATAGTTATGCGTGATTTTTATGATATATTAGTATGATTTATCGCTAGTGAAGCTAAAGCTGAATCTACATCCTTTTATACATTTTACAGTCAGTTCCACGTAGGGTGGCCCATTTTCTGCTGCGCTAAACTCAAATTATGCCTGCTTTATATAGTAAGATATGCTAATATATGCGAAAAATTTTTATAAAATATGCTTCGTTTATTTTTTTTTTTCAAAAAATGCTAAAAAAATGCGATAATTACTTTATTTAAAATGTATTATACTATACTACAATTACAAAATTTTAATTATTAAAATACAAAATATTCAAAGAAGCAATTGAATCTTCTGAAAGAGCATGCCGTCTATCACTAAGAATATTGGTATATGCTGAAAAACTTCGTTTCACATCTACCCCAGATACCAGAAGCCAAATATATTCTAAAGCCAATCTTGATAAATTTGGTAAGCTCCTAATTTTATTTTTCCAATAAGTATTTAAATCAAACTCACCATCTTCAAACTCTTTTTTCAAATTACAATAAATTCCCCATTCTTATATAATTTGATTTGTTGGCTTTTTAAATTCTTGAATTTTAGAATATAAACTAATATTATAATGGTATCATTGAGCATGAATATAACGTGGATCAAAGCATTAAATTGCTTTAAACAAAGGTAATGCTGAATGATAGTCTATATGTTTCTTTAATTTGTTAAAAGCTAATTGATAAGCTT